AAATATGATAGAAAATGGTGTGTCTCTAAGGAGAATGTTAAATGAATTTGTGACAAAATTCATTTCATCCTTGAAAAAATCTAGAAATCCCTTGAATATTGATTTATGATTATGTATCAATGCTAGGCAGTAAATAACAATCTCAATCAAACAATCAAAACAAATCAACATCACGATTTTACGTGGAAAAACCATAATTGGAGTGTCTCCAATTGTGATAAAAAATCACAGGCAAAAGTCAAAAAACAATCCACTAAGAAGACATAAAAGAATTACACAAGTGTACTCTCAATTACCTAGCGAATCTAAGACCAAATCAAACTGAACCCAATGTGTCTCTTCGGGGGCGTTGCCCCTCGGCCCCCACGAGCTGACCGGGTAACTCGATCCCCGAAATAGCCGGCGAAATGGCAAACATGAAAGAATGAACTTCTGAAGCTTCTCTGCAAGGCACAATTCGGGTTGGATTCACAGCTAAAAACTCATAGCCTCGCTGAAATAAAAGAACGAATAAAATTACAACTGAAAGGAGTTTTGTTAAACAGGATTGCCAAGAACAAAAACCTAACAATCTCCCCCTTTGGCAATGTTGTGACAAAACATACCTAACAAATAAAATCCTAATCACCCCAAGCTATTACAACCAACAAAAGCAAACTTCTTTCTCAAAGTCATGATCTGCAAAACAGCTATCAGTGCCACAATCTCCAAAACAACTATTAGTGCCACAAGAGTATATCAAAAAGCAATAGACATATGAAAAGATTATCTTGAAGCATGAGATGGAAATATGAAAAGATGTAAATTGGAGATTTTAAGAACATGAAGCATGAGTACATGAAATCCTAAGCCTCCATTTGGGAAGTGAGTTGGTTTTTTGGTTTTTTGGCTTTTTTTGACTATTTTAGCCTGGGCTAAAAAGCTTGGTTTGGAAATAGCTTTTTGGCTTTTTGGCTTTTTGATTTTTTTGTGAGAGAAGAATGTAATGATTATGGGTTAGATGTGATGTTTTGTTTGTCGTGGCTAAAATAGCCTATTTTGTCTTTTGTGACTATTTTAGCCACAAACCAACTTGCCAAACAACACGTCACAGATGGAAATATGAAAAGATGTAAATTGGAGATTTTAAGAACATGACGCATGAATACATGAAATCCTAAGCCTCCATTTGGGAAGTGAGTTGGTTTTTTGGTTTTTTGGCTTTTTTTGACTATTTTAGCCTGGGCTAAAAAGCTTGGTTTGGAAATAGCTTTTTGGCTTTTTGGCTTTTTGATTTTTTTGTGAGAGAAGAGTGTAATGATTATGGGTTAGATGTGATGTTTTGTTTGTCGTGGCTAAAATAGTCTATTTTGTCTTTTGTGACTATTTTAGCCACAAACCAACTTGCCAAACAACACGTCACATGCACCTGACACATGCACCTGCCAACATTACTCCCCTTTTTTGTCATGAATTGTCAAAGGAAGCTCACTCAACGAAAACAAGAGCATAAACCACACAAGTAGGGACAAAAGGAAGCAAAAATTAATAACATGTGAGAAGTAAGCAATAAATAAGCAATGGATATCAAGATACAAATCAACTAATGCCAATCTTCTTTACCAAACTAATCAATGTAAGTTCATGCTAAAAACACACCTAGCACTTAATAAACCAAACTCACCCTCACTAAAAGAAACCACAAACACTGAAAATAATGAACAAGAAGAAAACGACAAAAATAATATGGTAGAGCAAATTAGATTTGTACCTTAAAACACACAAAATTATCCAAGAAACACAATTACTTGAAAATACTATGTGCACAGTCTCTAGAAGATTTCTCATAAAAGAAAGTGATGCATTATGTGAAAAGCATAGGTCGCATGATAAAAGTGTGTGTGTGACTCTTAGAGTTCGACAAACACTAGATTCAAAACCTAGTAGTGATTAGATAGCTAGACCTCAGGCAAGAGAATCTAAGCACAACTAAAGAAAGTCAAACCACTAGGAATCAAGGGGTATTTGTTGAGTAAAAGCGGAGGCCCCACCTCAATCAATGAATCTTTTTTTCTTTCTTTTGCACATTTCTTTCTTTTCTTTCTTTTGCACATTTTTTTTTCTTTTCTTTTGCACATTATTTTTTTCTCTTTTGCACTCATTGGCAGTTTTCACGCTCAGGAGTGTAGAAACCGAACCAGAAACGCATAGATACAATTAGGATGACCTGGTTGGTGACTTTGAGGTAACCTTTGCCTCATGCATTGACTGCAAACAACTGAAAAGAAAGCCATGGAGATGCAAAAAGATGGAAGGTGGTTAAAAGACTCAACATCACCCATGATGTGCTAGTATGGGTCAATTCCTCTAGAGTTCCGGTTAGAAACAGCATTGATCAAGTGCTTTTCCAACAAGACTCCCAGAAACTCAAGGATCTAATCAACATCCTAGAAATTAAATCCCATACCCACATAGTCACATAAGCATGTTATCACTTAAGCACATAGCATATGATACTACATCTAAGTCTCTATCAAGCGAGACAAACCCATTGTGATCCTAATGAGATGCAAAAAGAGAGTGTGTACAAAATGAGACATACTAATCAAAGAACACACACTAAAAAATGAGTAATCACCACAGAAAGCACACACATATTAACATGTAATGGATATTCTCATCAATTCCAATATGCAACAAGAACTTCGCAAAAATTTCAAGCTTGCAAAACCATACTAAGAAAATCTTTTTGGTTTTTTTTTTTCAAAAAAACAAAGCAAGACATAAAATGAACAAGCACACACTAAATGACCCAAAAAGAAATAAACACACAGACACCCAAAAATAAAATACAAAACGAATAAGCAAATTAACACAAGTCAAGTTTTCTCACCCAAACCGCTTTAGTATGAACAAAGTTGTGAGACTTGTGGTTCTTGGGTGGTGACTTGACGTTGTGGTTCCCTTCCCCTTCAATGAGAACCCGTCTTGACCTGGTTTCCAACTTCCTATTTCTAGGTCTAGGCAAATACAACATCTGTTCATGTTTGGTCTCTAGCAAATCAAAATAATGAGGTCTAACATGACCCTAAACCTCATTACCACCAATAAAGTGTCTCCTACCCCAGGAGATGTTGGAATTTCTTCCATCTCTATGAGATACTCTCCTATGTAACTCATAACAATAAAGGTGAATATGACCATACATACCACAATGATGACAAATACAAACAGGGTGTACCTTCTTTTCTTTGGCCTTACTAACTCTAGGAAGATTGAGAAGTCCATCCTCATGTTGAATTTTCTGTTCTCCCTTTCCTTGAGTTCTTGTATCATGAGATGTAGATGCACTCTGTTTTTACTCTTTGTTATCACCAAAGCCAATGCCTCTCTTGTCATAACACATTTGTTGAGATCCAATGATATTGTCTATAGTCTTTGATCCTTTGTTCTAAAGACCAATGGTAGCCGTAGCACACTTGAGCTCTTCCTCTTTCTTGATCATTAGTTCTTCCAAAGCAACTTGAGACATCTCAAGAATTTCAATCTTTTCTTAATACGTTGCATAGATTTGTTGTAGATCATTCCTTTCTGTCTCATAAGTCAAGAGTTTTGCATAAAGAGCTTGTCGATCACTTGAAATCTTAATGTCATCATTCCTAGCCTCAGAAATCTCTTTCTTTCATTTGACAATATCACTTTCATAAGCTTTGAGTTTGATAGTGAGTTTGTCATTCAATTTAGATAAGTTAAGAGATTCCTTATACAACTTTTCATACCCGTGCTAAAGCTCTTTATCATCATTCCCTGAGGATTCATCATCAGTGACATTCTCAATCGGACTCTTCGGATACTTTGTTTGTCCTTCAGTTTCGGAAGCCACCATGAAAGCAAAGAATTGTTCATGCCCTCATCGCCTTGTGCTTCGTTGTCACTTCATCTTTATCAGACTCTGATTCATCATCCCACGTGATAGCGATGGCTTTCTTCTTCCTCAAACGAGTAGGGCCACTACTACAAAAATAGTTAAAGATCACACTTTGACAACAAAAAAAAAAAATCTCACTTTTATTGAAAGTGTGATAAAAAAAATTAGATTGATATTTTAATCACACTTAATTTGATTGAGTGTGATAATATTTATTTTTTATATCACTTTATATATATTTTTTAATCACACATTCTAATTAAAGTGTGATTATATATACATTACTACTTTTTAATCACACTTTTTAAATAAGTGTGATTATATAAAATATTCCAATTTGATTTTTATATAAAATATACAATTCTCAAATTCATGCCTCTATTCTACACCCATGAATAACAGAGGACGACTCTTTCCATTCCCAACAAGATTGAATTTCACAAACACACAAGTCTCTTCTCCTTGCCTTCTGTTTCTTAAATGAAGCCCTATTTCGTTTTCTTCAGCACAGCTTCGAACCACCATTGAAGTTACTCACTCAAATTTGTCTTTTCACTACTACAAAGATAATTAAAGATCATACTTTAACAAATAAAAATATCTTACTTTTATTAGAAATGTGATAAAAAAAATTAAATTGATATTTTAATCATACTTAATTCGATTGGGTGTGATAATATTTATTTTTTATATTACTTTTCAATTAAGTGTAATTATATATATATTTTTTTAATCACATATTCTAATTAACATGTGATTATAATGTGACTTTTTAATAACTTTTATGGATGGAAACGGTTGCAAATCACTAATAGATTGTATATATACGTGGACGACTCAGATGATACAATATTTCAATGGTTCAGATGGTACAAGATCACACCCTTTTTTGTTTTTTTGGTCTCGGCCTCACGTCTTAGAATTCAAATTTCAAATCTCTCTCTCTCTCTCTCTCTCTCCCCCTCTCTCTCCCTACTTCTGTATATGTCAATACACAAATCTCAAAACTAGAACTAGGGTTTTTAACTTACAATGCTTCTTCGAAGTGCATCAAATCCAGTTCTAAATTCATGGCTTCCACATTTGAAAGAGTCATCAATATCCCCAGAGACATAGATTTCTTTTCAAATCCCAAAGACTCGATTGGTCTCGATGGTCTTAGTTTCTCCGATCGACGAATTGGGGAAGAAAATGACCAGAGCGATGTCAGAGACTGATCTCAGAGAGCTGTCGGTCTCCAAATGAAGACTACTATTGCCGCCGATTGCAATGGAGGAGGAGGAGGAGGAGGAGAGAGAGAGGGGTTTGGATTTGAGATTAGATTCGTTGGATCGAATGTTATTTTTGGGGTCTGGATTGGATGAGATTGTGGTTGATGAGGAGTGTGATGTTGTTGAGGTTAGGGAATGGAAATTGGGGGGTGTTGTTGTGGGTGGTGGTAGATACGGCGGAGGTGGGTGATTGACCGGTGGTGGTGGATACAGCGGAGGTGGGTGTTTGATTTCAGATTTTCTTTTCTTTTTTGTTTTTTGTTTTTTGTTTTTTTGTTGTGTTGATGTTGATAAATCATTAATTGGAGCACAATCACATTTTTCCTTTTGCTATCATGTTTGCTTCTTGGTTGCTTGATGTTTTTAGTGCATTGGTATGTTACTGTGCTCCCTATCATGGTTAATTTTCAGATTTCAGATCCTCAACAAATATGAGTGGGCTAAGGGCTACAAGTAGTTATAAGGTTAGAGTTGAAATTTGATAAATTTCTTACAAATTTATATTTAAATGTGTTTTTGAATGGTTTTTTATTTAAAAAATATTAAAATGGGTTTATGACGGGATTTGTTTCTAAAGCCAATCTTCATGTAATGCCTAAGAAAATGCTAGAAACTCAAAACAAGGGAATGATGAACTAGCAGGGATATTAAAGAAGGAAATGCTAGAAACTCAAATGCTTAAGAAACAAGATTAGTTGATTTTATCCCTCAGCATTGTGAGGTACCTTTGTTTTGGGGTCAGATTGCTGCAATCTTAAATGTATGATTTTGTTTTATGTAACACGAATTGCTGTACATTATGAAAGTTTTGTTTTCTTCGTTTTGTACATAGTAGAAATTTGAGCCCTTGCCTAATCATTCCTATTGCAGAGAAAGTAATATCATTTTATTGCAGTTAGTGACATTATTTGATAAGAGGAAAATTTCCAGTTTAAATTGGCAGGCCTATGACACTGAACCAAATGAAATTTCTTTGATGAGGAAAATTACTACATTTCCACATCAAGTTCATTCCGACCACTAGTGATCAAAAGAACTAGTGGATGGTCTAAATAGGGGTTTGGTTTGTATCTGTTGGGCTTGTATAATCTAGTACTAGTACATATTTTGTTTTGATATTTTATATATTTGCTTATCATTACTGTTTTTATTATTTTTATTTGACATTAGGCTGTGTACTTTTATCATTATCTTTATATCTCATATTGTTGGAATTGATTGTATGACATGAATAGGAATCTGATGGGAATAAAGTTGTGAAAGATATCATTTTTGGCCCAGGAGAAAAGAAATATCGGTTCTGTAAGGTAACCATAAGCTTCTCTATCAATTACTCAAGATTGCTCATGTTTCATGACCTATTACAAAATTCTGTACTATTTTTCTTCTTTAGTAAAATCATGCTTTGGAATAATTTTGTCAATCTGCAAAATTATTCATGATTGTCCATCCTCGGATAAGATTACTAATCCTTTGTTTGGTTCATCAATTTTTTGAGGAAAAGGAAAAGGAAATGCAAGGGAAATCATCAATCTTTGTGTTGTTAACTTGGAAAACAATGAGGAAAAGAATATAATGAAAGTATGTGGAAAAAATCTTAGTTGTAAATATCATTTCCATAGTTGTCAAATTGGGAAATGAATTGAGTATTGTTTTTCTATTTTTTTTGAGTTGAGTATTGTATCATATTGTGTATCATAAGATAATTTTAACATCTATAAAAATGGGTAGAAAAATAAATATAGTTATAGAAAACACAAATATCTTGTGAGAACAAGACACCAAACAGTGTATAGTCCTTGAAATTACAAAAGTAAGGTTCTTTGAAAGATAAAAAGCATATAAATTGTATAATCCTCAATACATAATGGCCCTGTTTGGTACAACTTTTTTTCAGCTTATTTCAGCTTTTAGCTTAATTTAAGCTATTTTGATGTGTTTGGTTTAGCTTAATAATGCAGCTTATAGTTTTTTGTAAGTCAGAAATCAGCTTATTCTTTGAGTGGGGCGGGAGAAGCTTAATTTATAAGTCAGAAATCAGCTTATGTTCATAGTTATAAGCTGTAAGCTGTTAAGGCATAAGCTATAGGCACTTTCCCACAGCTCTACCAAACAGGGCCAATGTATATAAAATGCAAAGTGGAGTTAAGATATGTATAAAATATTTTCATAACTAACCATTTTAGTTTAAATATTTAATTACAACTTTTAAGTTTTCAAAGAACTTGTCTATAGTAGAAAACTTTAAACTTTAACGGGTGGAAGTAGGTCTAAATCAACAACACACGATACTTAATACTTGACCAGACAAGTAGATATTTGTCAAAAAATAGAGAAAAACAAAATAGAAGTACCATATTGTTATCTAAAAAATATTATTTTCAAAGAGTTAATATTAATTTACTAAAAGCAAGTTAAATTATTATTATTTTTTTCTTCAAAATTGCAAAAGAAAATAGTGCTGCACCATGTAACTCCCAATAAACAACCCTAAAAGAGCCAGATCAAAGGACAAAAGTAAGAAAATAGTGGAAGAGACTTTGTAGTGCTTAAGTGGATGACTTACTGATTCTTTGAGTAGAGACATAAAACATACCTGATAACAAAAACCTGATAGAATTTTTCTAAGCAGAGAAATGGAAAAATCCAGCATTGATCTCCTGATAGAATTTAACTTGGATTTTGAGAAGGTCAAATACTCTCTCTGTGAATGAACTGCGTAGGTAATTTTCTTTGTATTCAGGTTCCACCCATGCCTACTATCGTTTCCTTCTAAAATTGATGAAGAGGAAAGCAACTCCAAAATGCCTATGTTCCCGAACTTGTTTCAATATTTTCTGAATTTTCGGGACTGAATATTAGAGCCTTTGATGGTGCTGTAACTCAGTCTCTTATGTTAGCAAATTTCTGATCATTTGAATCCCTTTATTATTACTAAAGTATGACGCCTAAGAAAAGTCAGCCAAATTACAGTATATTAGATACACCTTTGGGGATCACCAATTGAAGTAAATACACAGTGTTTTAACTCTTATGTTTCTAAATTGTATTTCCCAAAAGGTACATTAACGTGTGCATATTTGGATAAAGATTGATATCTGGTCATATAAATTTCCTTGAGTTCATGATTTATAAATCAATCATAATGCTACCACAGCATCTTAATTTTATAAATTCTGAAAGTGTAATATGTTTACAAAATTTGTTAGTAAATAAAATCCTGAGTTTTTCTGAACTTTGGTGAGCTTTCATTGGTCTCAGTTATGGTCGGTTTCAGTAAAATTATATGTAGTTCAGCTAATTCCATGATTTCATTTTACTGGTTGCATGCAGAAAATGTCAATCATTTCCACATGCTAATCTGTTGTGCAGGAACTGATTCACTTTCAAACTATATCACTTCACAAACTTGTTCTCATTTTTCCTCTTTACAGCATATCTCAAAACAACACGGACCTAGTTTGTCTGATGATTTGATAAAAAATGGAAAGCACTTCATATTAATACGAAATCCACTTAGTATTTTGGTAAGTTGTTTTTGTAACCTCTATTTGTCGTTTATCTTAGATGATAGGCCCCTTAAATAGTTTTTCCTTTATATTGTATCATTTCCTGTAAATTATCTAATTTTGAAAATTTTAAAAATATATTAATTTCTTATCCTATTGACTATCTATATAAATATATTGGTTTTGATTTTCATCATTTCGATGACTTAATTTTAATCTGTTGAATGTTGTCAGCCATCTTTTGACAAGGTTATGCCCCCATCGTTTCTCGAACTAGGATTGGGAGACTTGGTCTACATATACAGCAATCTTTGTGAATTGGGAAAGCCCCCAGCAGTCATTGATGCATCAGAACTTCAAGAAAATCCTGAGGTTCCAAGATCTTTTTGAATTAGCCTGATAAACTTGAAGTGTTTTCTTTTTCGTATTTTATCTTTAGTAAATCATCTTTGATGGTGATAATTATTATGTGGAATGAGTACATTGAGTACGCATTTTGTGATAATTTTGACTATAATTTAAACATTAGCTTTGTTTAGATTACCTAAATTATAATTTTTAATCTTTTTTTTTTTTCCCATTTGTTTGCAACAAAGGATTTTTTCTTTCTCTAGTTTTCTATACCACGACAATATTTATCATAGTAATGTTTCTCTTTATTTTGACCCTATATTCAATCTTATTTATCATATCAATGTTCAAATTTTGCAGGCCCGTAAAGATGCCACTCAAGTTGTTGCAAATTTACACAGACAAGAAGTTCAGTCACGGCTGATTGCTTGTGATTACTTGGAGGCAAACATAGAGCTTTTCCCCCGTTTCTATATATATGTCATATTTTTAAATGGTAATACAAACATTTTATACTAGTAACAACCAAAGTTGTTATTCCTTTTCTATTGATGCAGGGGATGAAGACTCAGTGTGATGAGAAAATGTCTGATTTTGTCTTTTGTAAGACAAGAACAGTCTTTTAATTCCTTTGTATATGTAAACATAGTTAAACATTTATTAATTCCTTTGTATATACTTTTGAATATTTAACTTTGATTTATAAAATATGGCGTTATTCCATTCAATATATGGTTGTGATTCAAAATATAGTATATAGTGTGTATTACATTCTTCAAATGCGCGTGCAAAAATAATATTGATTATTCTTCAAATATGTCGAATTTTTTTTTATCACAGGTTTTATTAGTTATTAATCACACTTAAAAGATGTGATATAATGTTTTTAATCACTTAAAAAATGTGATGAAATCATTTTTTAATGACACTTAAAAAGTGTGACACTCCCAAAGACCATACTTTAATAAAACTTAAAAGGTGTGATTAAAACACATACATCACACAAAAAAAAGTGTGATTTCTATCTATATTTGTAGTAGTGGGAATTCTTGAGCAAAGTGATCAAATCCTTGGCATTCATAGCATTGGACTCTTTTAAAGTTTCCTTGTATCTTTCTTTTCTCCTTCTTGGTTATAGAATTAATTTTGAATTTATCTTTGCCTTTGGATTTATGAGTTGATTCCAAAATAATAGGATTCTTTTTCAAAAAAGATTTTTTAAATTGTTTTACAAAAGCATCTGTAATCTTGGAATCTATCTTACAATCCTCATCAGAATCCTTACCAACTTTATGAACACTACTAAAGGCAATATCATTTTTTTGTTTCTTCTTGAAATTACTATGTGCCTTATAAGTTTGAAGATTTCCAATTAAATGATCTAGCTTGAGGTTGTTAACATCTTAAGCCTCCTCAATAGCCGTAACTTTTGGTTGGAACCGATCAAGCAAAGATCTCAAAATTTTTCCCACAATCTTGGATTCCGGTATTTTTTCACCTAAATTGAAACTAGAATTTACAATGTCACTCAACTTCATATAAAATTCATCAGAGATCTCATTATCTTTCATAGAAAGGTTTTCGAAACTAGACATGAGTCTTTGAAGATTTGAGCGTTTAACCGAAGGAATGCCCTCCTGAATAGTTTGTAAGATATCCCAAGCCTCTTTTGCGACTTCACAATTGCAAATACGACTAAACTCTTCAGGTGTGATGGCGCAAAAGAGAGAATTGATAGCTTTACTATTTCAGCTACTATTTAGGTAATCAATTGTGTCCCACTTATCAATTGGTTTGGGGAAGATACCCCATCAACGATAATCGTCAGTTTGGTCCACCCATACATGGCAGATTGCCAAACTTTTTAATCAATAGATTTTAAAAACGTTCTCATCCAAGCTTTAATTAGATCCGTCAAGGAGGGGTGGTCGAACCATAGAATTTCCTCACGAATTGAATCCATTATCATAAATCAAACAAGATCTCGCTCTAATAGTTTTTTTAAAAAAAAATAGAGCGACCCGCTCTAATACCAATTGAAGAAATCTAGAAATCCCCTAAATATTGATTTGTGATTATGTATCAATGTTAGGCAGTAAATAACAATCACAATCAAACAATCAAGACAAATCGACACAACGATTTTACGTGGAAAAACCACAATTGGAGCGCCTCCAATTGTGATAAAAAACCATAGGGAAAAGCCACAAAACAATCCACTAAGAAGACATAAAAGAATTATACAAGTGTACTCTCAATTACCTAGCGAATCCAAGCCCGAATCGAACCGACCCCAATGTGCCTCTTCCACCACTGTCATTATCGCGGAATTGTCTTGCCCAACGTTAAATCCACAATGCAGATGTTGAATCCATAATGATGAGCCACTCCGGAATCCACCAAAGCTTTAGGCTCAAGTTACACGGAATCTACCAAAAAACAACTCTCTTTTTTGAATAAAACAAACTAAACAAACCTTTTGATATAATCCACTCAATTCATGATTAAACTCTCATAGATATCAAAGGAAACAAGCGAAGAAGCTCCAAATGAAAACCCTAATCCCCAAAAAGAAGATCTGGAAGCCGT